CGACAACGGAGCTTGGAATGCGCGTCGTTGTCATCCGACGGCGGCGGGACAGACCTGCAGGGGCACGTGAGAGGGAGTGAGAGGGAGCTAAGGAGGAGGGAGAAGAAGAAGGGCGCAGGGGCGGCCTGGCCTGGCCGTCAAGGTTGCCGACGGTGGTGGCGCGCAGCCTCCGGCAAGGCGGCGGGGTCGGCCGCTGGTGCGGGGAGTTGGGGTCGAGCGGGAGCTCGGGCCCCTGGTTCGGGCGCGCGGTGTGCCTGCGGGCTGCGGTGGCGAAGATCCGGGCCCGGGCAGGCCCTAGACGGGCTCGCAGGGCCGGCGGTGGTGGGAGACGGCTGGGGAGATGTGGCGAGGCCACATGGCAGCGGTGCATTGGCTGTAGGGGCGCTGGGGCTGATGTGGCAGTGCCCGGTTGGTCCGGGGCGCGGTGGCGGCGGCGCCAAGTGCCGGAGGCAGGATAGGCCGGCGCGGAAAATGAGGAGAAGGTGGGAGGAGGCTGGCGGCACGTGGATTTCGTGGAGGGAGTTGTCTGCTGCCAAAAATGGAAGGGGAGGCTTCCTTTTATAGCTAGAGGCTAGGGTTTGAGGGGTTTAGGAGGGGTTTTCCGACCCTCCGATCTCGATCGGACGACACCGGCCGCGAGGATGGGTGAAGTTTGGCCTTGTGGGCTGTGAAGAGGAGGTTGTGCTGAGATGAGAGGGAAGGATTGCAGCCCGACAACTGTTTCCGGAGACCGAAAACGTCCGACGAATACACCAGCTATATAGCGGCTGCATGTTTAACGGTTGGGCTGCCAAACGGATTCCGAATGCGATGAAATTTGACTGGCGGTCTACCTACACTATAATAAGACCGCACACCCACTTTTATCCCATTCTGAGAACATTTTTATGCCACTTATAAAATAATATTTCTGAGGTGTCGCGGGGCGCGTGCGAGTGTGGTTGGGCTTAGAACGGACAATAGAGAGAACTGGGAGGACCCGAACAGATGCAAGTTTTGAAAAGCATGCAGATGAAACGCAGATGATGACATGGAAAAGTGCAACATGCAAGCAAATGACATGGCAACAACGACAAATAACTGGAGGACACCTGGGGCATCGGATTCGGGGCATTACAACTCTCGTCCACTAACAAGAGATCTCGTCCCGAGATCTTAGGAATGAGACGGAGGAGAAAGATGAAGGGGTGAAGTAAGAACGCAAGAGAGAAGAAGAACAAGGTCGAGAGCACTCGGTAGAAAAGAGGAATGACGAATATGACAAGAATCAAGAGCTCAAGGAATAAGATAGACTCCGAAACCACTCCGGTTAGAACAAGATAGGAAAGGAATAAGAACATAAGAATTTGGGCAGCACTCCAACTAAAAATGGAAGGAATGGAGACCTGAACTTCACCCAATGGGATGACACTTGACAAGATGAACAATGCAATGCCTAAAGAATGGAATGAAAAGAACAGATGAAAGAACAAGAACTTCCATGATGAATAAATTTGATAGCATCCTTAGAAGAAGGGTAGAACGGAGTTGTTGAGATATTCAACAACAAAAGAATAAGCTTGTTATGGACTTATCAAAAACAACTCAAAACTTGAGGTGAAATTATACCACAACCAATGTCTGAATAGCTGAGAAGAACGAAGAAATGCAAAACTCCACTTCAGAAAAAAACAGAGAATTATTTGCACTTCGAGACGCGAGAAGAAAATATACTTGAACTCCGCCAACAAAATCTTGATGAACTCTTCAAGAATGAATTAAATCATGAAGAACCGCCATGAAGAACTCCGGCGACAAAAGGATGGTGAGATAGAATGAAGGATGAAAGAATAATATTAAACCTTGCGGTCATTTAGATGGAGGTTCCGACGAAATGGCCAAGGAAATTTGAACTCCGGAAAAGAAAAGATGAAAACACTTGGAACTAGAATTTATTCATCAAGAAGGAAGGGATTAATCACTTGGAGGAAAATAAGAATAAGATTTATTGTATGCTTATCCTTCATCAAATTAAATTGATGACAAGCAATGGATTTTGCATACTACTTATTCTTGTTGAAAAGGATTAAGGGGAATATGACACAAAACTTGAGAAAGTCTTCATGAACCACAGGTAGGATTGAAAAGAACGAATGGATTGATATGATAACAAAGGAAAAGAATATGAAGGAACCGCCGTAAGAATTCAAATATGATTGATGGAAGAGAATGAATCACCGGGAAGAATTAGAGAACAAATATGCTTGAGGGGATTTAGATGCAAAAGAACGAAGAGATAACAAGCTGATTAAAGAATACTTGACAGACGCACCGGGATAATAGGATAATGATAGCTGGAGTGTGGGGACGAAGAATTCCTCTGGAATGATGGCCTCCGGAGAAAAGAAACAGAAAAACAACTCCTGACATACTCTGGATTGGTAGGAAAAGAATATCTGACAAATGGAATAATTTGAGAGGATAACATTAAGAAAGAACCACAAATCTTCGAGAGAACGAGCAAGATTTAAGAGAAACTCTTCTTTGATCTTCAAATGATGATGTGAAACACCACCAAAATTACTGAGATACACAGGAAGAATGAAAAGCGAAGAGGTTGAGCCAACAATGAAAAGAATTGAAATCTATCTTGAAAAGGCATCTGACGGATGAAATTCATTCTTACGTCAAACTCCGAAAAGAATTTGGAATGGCTCCGGAATAATTATGAAAGTCAGGTAAGATCCTGGGAAAAGACCTGTGGGTTAGGTCCCACTAAAAGAAAACACCATTGAAAAGGATTGTTGACGAGATAGATGATGCACTGGAACAATTGAAATATTTGAATGAGGTGATAACCTCGAATTTATTCGAACACAGACGAATCTCCTGAGATGTCTTGAGCACTCCGGAAGGATAAACTGGTGAGAGGAGAACGAATAAAAGGAAACATTCGATCCAAGGAAAAGAATATGATCAACCCGAAAAAACTTGAATTGAATCCACCGGAAAGAAAACGAGA